AATAGCCATTTCAACTCTGTATCGAGTTTTCTCGATCACTACAACTGAAAGCGTGCAAGGGATTTCTCCAAAGTTTAATGGATATGAAAATTCTGTAGGATATTTCAAAGATTTGATATCATTTGATAAATGTTCTAGAAACGATTCACCATTGCTATACGATTTGCTGTACGCAAATATTTCTGGGATTTTACTTAAAAAACCACTTTCTGCCCGGTTCACTGAATAGTATCGCCAGCCACTATTCCACGAATTCCATTTGCTTTCTCTTATGATATTGTTAGCTTCTTCATCTTGTAAAATTTTGCCATTTTCCCATGAAAATATCACAGCTTTGCCTGCATGAGTACCTGAACCGTCCATGAAACACGACATCAAGTATCCTCGTTGCTCGCTTGATAAACATAAATCATCGCATGCACGCTGTTTTAACCATGACAAAGCCATGCTTTCTTCAATAATTACATTATCAAGTCCACCTGATCGAATGTTAGATCGCGATAATTTATGATGACATAGGGCAATCTTTTTCTGTCGCATATCAACATGTGGTTTTACTACAACGAGTAAGAAGCAGTAGTCACCCGTTTCATCCATATATTCGAGACCACCCACAAAACTATTATAGAAACGATGAATTGATTGTCGTAAGTCATGTATAAACTTTTCTCCTATTGTTCGTTGACCAACATTCCATATATTACACTGACCAACAATGTAAGCTTCAGCATCGTTGAGGGTATGAGGAATCTTCATACTATTTACTGCCGTGTATTTCCAAGATTCCATATTTTCTGATATTGATCTCTGGTCACCGGAATTCATAGCCATGGTAAGCATTTTCGTTGTTTTCCGATCTGCAATATTAAATAAAGAATTTGACTCTAAGATGATTTGTAGCAAGCGAGCACTAGAATATGTGTGCTATTTGATTCTCTTCTCACTTTGTGTTTACAATACACTTTACAGACTCTAGAATTCATTTTTCTTATCTCATTTCATAACTTTCTCGTAAATACAGATTCATTAGATCGAATTCTGACATACTCTCAGACTTAGTTCTGCTGTAGTTTCATCAAAATAGCCATTCTGTAAAAGCTATTCTGGTTACACAGTCTTTTTTTTTATAAACAGATGAATTTAATACTGCTATTTCCAATAAAGAAAGCCCTAAACATGAAGTTCATTCATTTCTCTTGAAAAAACGCTAAACCTAACGATCACATATAGATGTATAGAAGAAGACGGAGCCTCAACGCTTCGAGTTTGAAGTGTGACCATCTTTACTAGAATATCGTCGATTGGTGCACTGTGAATAGACTGAATGGAAAGGAATAAGTCTATTAGCCTTTTACTGCTGAAGAAAATTGTGTACTCATCAAAATCACTCGTGTTGCACCAAAGAGTCAAGTCCTACTTGGCTGTATTGAGTTCAATTATTAGAGTGCGAGATGTTTCTGTCATTACTTTAACAGCATATGGTATTTTATAGAGAAAATCTAAGAAAGATTTTTTCCAGTCGAGTAAGAACAGTACGAGTAATCGAATATTTAGCATAACGGAAGAGAAATGCAAACGCAAATTTGCAGCGAGATTGCTTTAATCACTGTATAATGTTTTATTTTTGAAGTGTACGTAATGAATTTTTGCTGCTTGGATATGTTTTTCTTTAAATAAAATAACAACCTACCTAGTCGGTGTGCTTTTAAGAGGAACTTGGAAACACAACTGTATACGTAATCTGCATTGTACGAATGATTTTTTTCCAGTAACTAATCCAGTAATTAAACCAAGTAGATGAACTAGTGCTACGCATTATCACTGCATAACTTTCAATGAATTGGAGAAAAATTTTGTAGCTGTTTTTTATTTATGATTCATGACTGAATTATACAGCAGTAGGATATGTTGTTTACTTGAATACTGTATGAGGATATATTTAAAGGACATGTATGCAAATGAATATTGAATACATAAGAATATGAGTGTTTACCTAGCTCTTCTGTTCCTTCTATAAGAGGCTTTTGGGATTCAACCAACTATAACTAATCGAACACCATACAAATGTAATATCACTAGCTGAAAGCGTGAAATAATTTTTATGAATATAGTTCAAGTGGAAACCACATTCACACTATTTGAAATAACTCTTTTAAAACATTAACATACATACAAAACTTGAACCTTGAATTCAATTGAGTTGAGAATGTGGATGCCACGGAAGGATTTGCACACATACCATCCCAGTTAGTTGTGCACAGTGAAAAAAAGATCTCATTTACGTTGACATACGAGCACATGAATGTAAATATTTGTATTACAGGCGAGCATGCTATTGCTGCTACGTTTTAGACTCCGGATGAACTATGATTGATAGAGTCTATGATACATTGAAGGATAAACAAACAATATTCCAAACGATTCTATTCGGTAATTAGCTCTTATTGTTATTAGAGAAAGTGTTTTTATATATGAAAATAAATTGTTTCAACAGAGAAGTAGAAGTGTACCGTTTCTCGATGGATTCATTTAAAACAAAAATGGAACTTTAAAAACTTTAGTGTATCATAAAGAAGCAACTGAGTCATATATGATACCACTCACATCAGATCTGATCATTCCAGTCGTATTTTCTGAAATGCTTTTGACGCTGCTATTCTACGAGCAGAACGTTTTTCAGAAATTTAGTCTCAATTTGTAGAGAAAGTGCAACGACAAATAAAGCTCACGTTTCTTCGCAAAGATTAACTTTTCGGCATTTATTCACGTTTCTATTTGCTTGTTTATGAATCATAGTTATGTGCCAAGACATTTTGATCGGCGAGCCAACACATTTTAACTAAATATTTAACTGAATCTGAATATAAAACAAGAATTAATAACCATAATACTGAAATTGATAACAGCATCCGACGTTGATACAACACAAGGATATACACAAAGAAACCGACATACAACTTCTGCACAATAAAGCCAAAATAAACTAACAATAGAACTTAGAATTAAATGTTTATTTTTCAAAGCATTGAAATGAAAATTGGCAACTCTCTATCTATCAGGAATAGTTAGTATCACGGTTGCGCATAAGTCCCCGATTCATCTAAAAAAAGCGACTAGTGACACATTTGTTTTTGGAGGGTTCAACATTTATGAAAAAGCTGTTAGCGCAATCCCTGTGGAATTATAATGTGAAACACGATGAAACTCCTTTTCTGAAATCTGTCTATCACGGTCAGTGATGGTCTGTGGAGCTTCTCTGTTACGGCCTGTATTATGATGTGGGGAGGGGACCGTGGGATGGGTCCAAATTTCTACCCTATATACTTCAACACTCCTTTCAAATCGTGTTTCACAAAATATAAGCAAGAACATGTAATATATTGCAAAAACCAAGAAAAAATAGGGAAACTACTAAAATCATTCTTATTCAAAAAATATAGTACATAAGCCAACTATTTCATTTCCTCGAAGCTGCCAATATCGATCAATTCAAATATAGCCAGAATCACACAAGTCACTAGTTTACAATCAAAAGATCATTTCTGAACAGATAACATAGTTAGAAGCCACCGAAAGATTCCTTTGGTGGGAATGAAATCATAATAATTGTTGCTATAATTAAATACACATACGCACACACCTTGCCCTCAACAATAGGTTTTTAATGTATAAAAGAACCCACCAACATACTCTGGTGAAAGCAATGTATTTTCCAGCCAGATACACGTAGCTACATGCTGTAAAAATAGCATGAAATGTGCTTTTTTTCTTCTTGTTACACGCTCATTAGAAGTGAACAACGCTGTCAATAAAACACGCTTTTTAAAAACATGTTGCGTAAGAATTGATAGATCTCTAGCAGTCCTAAACACAAGTGAAAATCAATTTTTAAATCGATACCAAAGTTTTGTGAGATTGATCATAAACTTGAGTATCAAAAAACTGCTTCCATTGATCAACATAAGATCCAGGCTCGTACATCACACCTGAACTCGACGAATGCCAATGGAAAGTAAATGCTCCATCAAATGCAGTTAGACCCTGATGACTTATTTTACTTCGTTGTATAAAAGAATCTTTGAAACCTTCAAATAAACCTTCGCTTAGTTTCCATTGTTTATTCGTTTCTGGATCGCCCCCATCGACAGTTAACCAAACTGGATCGAAGAATGCGCACGGAAATCGATGAAAGTCTGTAGGCAATGAATATGTATGTAGGGAAGACGGCAAGAATGTCCATGCAGATCGAGTTCCGCGAGCGCGATCAATGATAATCGAGCTAACATTCGACTGAGGAAAGAGGCGAAGAACAGCTGTATTGAATGCGTCTAATATGGACCAATGATATGCGAATTCATGTTTAAAGAACGGTTGCATATCTCTGAGATAAATTGTATCGACATCTACGTACAGGCCACCTAATCTATGCAATATAATAAATCGAGCAGCATCACTAAGTTGGGGACGTCTATTGAAAATCAATTTCAAGGGCAATTCATACCAATGAGCGTCGACCTATAGAGAAATTTTCAATTACTAATGGATTGAAAGCAGAATTATTACGCACTCTCAATAGGATTTTAATTATATGTCGTATTGAAGTTCATTGTCAGTAGACAGAAGCTAATATTTTGAGATTGTTCACGAGATTATAAATGGATGCTAAAGCATTCTTTATGACTATTCTCAGATTAGTTCAGGCTTACATTTAAAGGTCTACTATCCATGTTTATCATGTTGCATAAATTTCTCACAGACATAGGATAGCTACGTATATAACTATATATCAGCCACTCATTTTGGAATGTTCTCATTTTTGACTCCTGATCTTAATCCCTTACAACAATAGTATTTAACTCATCAACCTGAGTATGATTGATATTTTATGCTTTCATATTATGCATTTTTAATTGATCTGAATATTCTTTTCACTTTAAACTATGCTTCTCGTTAAACAAGTGTGAAATGGTAACCGTGCTGTAATATCCCAAGTGAGCAAAAGACGGGTAAAATGACTAGTCTTTTTTCTAGTCGTGTCGTGTCGTCTCGTCTCGTCTTGACCAGTCTTTGTCTCAGAAAGCCCTCGACTGGGACTAGTCCGAGTTTTTGACAGTCATGCGTACGCGTCCTAGCACTCTGATTGACTAGTAGTCATGGCATCTGATAAGAGCAGTCGCAACGAGCGTTCCTGTCGCCCGTCCAAAAGTGGTTTATAAATGAAAAGGTAAGGGCGTCTGGGGCGATTATAGAACTAGCTGTAACCTTAAATAGTGGACGTGTCTTGACTAGTCTAAATCGAAATATGTGACGATGAAGCTTAAATTCGAACACGCATACAATGTGATACTTACCCAGCGTCAGAGACATTGAGCCATATGATCGAGACATCATATTCTGCACGCTCATGATCATTCTAAGATGTTATTTAATACAGTTTTTACTCCGAGTTTTTTAATTTTGCAAAGTAAAAAAAAATGTTTTTCATAGAAGCGCGATTATTTTAGACAAAATTTAACAAAATAAGTGAAGAAAATTTTATAATTTTTCGGAAAAATACCTTTTGCTATTAGCAACTGAGTCTAATTCTTTGAGTTTAAAATAAATATTTTGGTTGTAAAGACAAAAAATTATTTATACCGAAAAGAAACTAGATTTTTTCATATAATTTTAATTTAATTTCAAACTTAAATTTCCGTACACTCATCTCAGAAATACATTATCTTAGTTTAGTTTAATATTATTAGAATTGATATTTAAAATAAACTAACATTATATTTTGATATCAAAATTTACTATCTCTCACAATTCAAAAAAATATATAAATTAGCACTCCTAGATGTGAGATGAATTTTGTTGTACGCACTAATTCCTACTATTTTATGTTTCAATACACTCTTAAACTTTTAACATCTGCTAATACAAAATAAAATAAAATATTTCAAGGCAGGGATGCACGGAATATATAAAATATTTTTGAATGCACTATTGATTACCGCAGACTCTCTGATTGTCCTACTAGCTAGGAAAAAAATTGATAAGCATTGAATGAAATAAATACTTCTTAAAAAAGGACTAGTCATGAGTTGTCCAAAAGATACTTCAGACTAGTCAATACCGTTTACGTCGGTTTTTCTGATTTCCTATGCATGGATGATAGCCAATCTTTGATTTTAGACTACATATACTTATAGCAGTCTGTCTCGGTGCCCTAGTCTACCGTCAGGATGTCCGTCATATTTCGAACATTGCCGGGTTGAATGTTCAAATCCACCATATAACCTCTTTTTCTAATCTTCCTACTAGTCTGAACTAGGTCAAGAGATAAAAAGGACTAGACATGACTGGACTCAAGGACATTTCAGACTAGTACAGACGTGTTTGTAGGACATTCCTCCTTAAGCTGACTATGCAAGACGGGCATGCAAGACGTTTCAGACTAGACTTGACGGATGCTGCGGACATTTCTAACTAGCCATGTCTATAGTCTCTCTTCATTTTTTATTTTGTTTTTCTCGTTTCTGTTTCACAAGTCAACGAAACAAGTTACCAAGCTTAACTTGACAATCATCTGTTACGCATTTCTTAATATGTGACACTTACATAGGTGCCAACTTGACGCATTTCATATGCTACTTCAATCAACGATCGAAATTCGACGTAAGGTGCATAGATCATATTGTATGCGTTCTTCACTCGAATATCAAAAGGTGGTAACGTCCAAACGATCAAATGTGAACATCGTCGATTTTGTGTATATAAAAACGATTGAATGTGTAGTTGAAGAATTGGATGGTTTAAAAGATGAACATCGTTCCAAAATGTGTGAAATAACATCTTTTTGGTGTCTGTACAAAACATATTTTCAAATTCAGATTTTTCATTGACACGGAGTGTTTGGAAATAATGGGATTGGTTTCTGTGTAGATAGTCAAGACACTTAATCGTTGGTATGCTTTCACACGTTTTTGTCAGTTTAGCAATGTCACAAAATCGAACAAAACTAAAGCTAGAATCATTCTGTGGTCTGAGGCGATATTTGAACAATTCTATTGTCCGAGCAGAGGACGATGCGGAAGAGATGGATGACGATAGGTATGTACAGAAAATAATAATTATGAGAACGATACTTAAAAGATAGAGTCGGGGTGATGGTTGAAAATATCGCTTTACAATACACGGTGTTGAAGTAAATTTCGATAGACAAGCCACAAAAAGGGAGAAATATTGATAGTTGTGGTTCATTGTTTTAGTATTGATGAAAATCCAAGGAATCGGCGAAAGATGAAGCGACTGATAAATTGTATTCTTGTAGAGCGAGTTTGCGGGAACATTCCAAAACAAAGAGTCCACTCTTTTGAAATCGTCTGATTTTGCAATTCAAGTATCTAAAAAGATTCAATACATGCACTTAATGGGTGCTATCGAAAAAAAGGCTCATGTGTGTGTTGATGTTGGTATCCGAATAGCATGCATCTACCCACACACACAGTAGTTTCATATTTGAGCTCAGAAAGAACTGGAAACGAGCCTTCTCATTAAAACGAGTATTTTCTCACTTTCCACTCTTGATATCACCCCAACACGGAAATCGCAACATCAATTCCGTACGACTAGCAAAAAATATACATCGTATGATAGACTGAAATCCAGTTCAATATTAATCTTTACTAGGAAAAATTAAAACTTTGATCTTCACTAGTTTAGAACGCAATAATGGGCAGGATACTACTGAAAATACGGAAAAAATCTTTATTTTCTATTTGACATAAGAACAAATTAAACAGTAACACAGGAATGATAATCGCGGACAAAGAAAAAAGTTAACTGACAATTTTTACATTTTAAGCAGTTACCACCAAAGATCATTTAGGACAACGTTTCTGATGTTCTTTTCTTGCATTCGCATCGATTTGTACTATGATTACCATTACATTTATATTTATTAGCCAATTTGAAACTAGTGTGAATCTAGCATGCTTGGATAAAACTAATAGATGATAAGAAATTATTGTTGAGAATCCGTAATGCCGTAACATTGGATTCTGTGTGATTTAGAATGGTTATTGGTTGCAAACTTTCTTTTATGACACCGATCATGGTTGCAGCATTATCCAATGTTTCACTATCTTGACCTCTGAAATCGACATCGGTTATCTTTAGACCAATAACATCGTCAACATGATAAGTTCTTCGATTTTCAGAAGACTTGCTCCATTATGTCGACATAGATTTGCGCCTATTGAAGTTGAATTTACTTTTTAAAAATCCGTGAACAAAGACTTATCCATTTCAATCTATCCTACGACGCACACGCATATATATATATATATATAGAAGGAAAGAAAAATTGCCACTCGACACTATAAAGTGGTTCTCACTTTAATCAACTGAATAACAAACGAAAGAAGAACAAAACAAGATGGCTCATTCCTACAAGGGTCCATATTTCAGTAGAGAGAATTTCTTAATGTTGAAGTTATTTGGTGAAATGTAGTTTAATAGATTAAATGCGAGATCAACTAATTCATCAATCACTAATATATTACATTATTTTTAAAACCAAATTTTAAAAAAAGTATAGTGAAGCTTTTAATTCCTTTCAATCAGCCATTTTCAACACTGCTCTGCGACGACAATTTTTCTTCCTTTCGGAGCACAGTGTTGGCAATAGAATGAAAAAAAAAGAAGAAAATTTAAAATTATATACATACATTGCCTGCAAATTTCCTTACACACGCTTTAGTGTTGAAAATGACTTTTGGTTAGAGATGAAAAGCTTCAATACAGTTTTTTATATTTTGCTTAAAAAATAACGCAATATACTGATGATTGATGAATTTGTTTATCTTACATTTAGTATTTCTTAAAAAATGTTTCTACTGATCTAGAAATACGCATTGGTTCGGGATGTATGAGTGTATGTTAAGGTAGATGGATGCGGATGAAACGAAAGAAATATGTATAATTTCGAATACGGTACAATAGTGAGATCCAAGTAGCCAGTTCACCAATATTAGTTCGTTCAAACTCTCTCGTTTGATTTGCACACAATTTTGATGTATTTTACCTATTCTTTGAATTTCGTTAAAAGCATATTTCGTCTTAGTAATTTAATCACCATTTTGGTGCAACATTTCTCGAATGCGACACTCATAATTATCACTGATCGTACGTGAAAAGCTACCCAACTAGAAGAGTATGTAGAGGCCACATGTTTACATTTTTACGTACCTGCTTTGGTGTAATTGATGAATCAGACAACTGAGTATGATTATTTCTTCGGTTCTTGCAAAAAAGAAAGACTGAATTGCACGACAAATAAATATGAGAGTTAGATTTTTTTTACTCTTCAATGCCATTTTTTATGCAATCAAAACTCATAGATTTGTTGTGAGAGGCAGATATGTGGTTATAAATTGTTTCATCTTTATTGTTTCTAATTTCCAACTGTTGTCATATAGAACACGTTAAAACCTACTTCAATTTTTGGTAAAACACAAAGCTTGCGGTTAATAATGAATTGTATTGAAATAATAGTTGCCATCCGCTTTCATTCTATTATTATGTAAGATGGTTCACATGGTAAACTTCTCGCATATTCTCATTCATGATTAGAAAATGCTGCCATGGTGTCAAGGACTCCTTTTTGTTTGGAGACCTTCAAAAATGTCCGTGAAAACATAGTGCATTTTTTCACAAAATCATTGCTTGTGGCGTTTTTATTAAGAATAAAAAGTAGTGCTATGCTATTTTCTCTCTCTCTCTCTCGTAAACTAATTTCAAACTACGCAACACGACTAATATCGCGTGTTTTTTCTATATTGCTATCTATTTAAAATCATGAATCTGGATCAACGTGTATCACAGTTTATCTAAGTGATAATATGGGTGAGAAATCGCAGCAGTGGCAGAATTCTCACCAAGCAAAATTCGAGAATTCTGTTCATTTATAAACTATGCTATATTCTTTCTTTCTTGCCTGTGCTATTTTCTTTCTTTCCTGTGTTATTTTCTTTCTTTTCTGTGTCATTGTATATACACACACACACACTATCTTAGATCGACAACAGAATTCTAAGCAGAATTAATCGTTTACCGGCAGAATTTCGTAAGAATTCTGTATTCTCTACAGAATATTGTATCAATACAAGAATATATATATTTCTAATCGAAACGGAAGTTTTTCTTAGAATTTTGTTTAAAAGCAGAATTATGAGTTTGTTATAAAGCTTTCCTGTATTTTATCTAAGGAATATTTTGAGCTAGAATCAGAAGTAGGGGTGTTACTTTATATTTACTTCACTTTTTAAAGATAAATAAAACCTTTATATTTAAAAAATAAAGATAAATGAAATTTTTGTATTTATAAAATAAAGAATAAAGAATTTATGAAATTTTTATATTTATAAAATAAAGAAAAAGAAACAGTAGCTTTATCTTTATTTAATAACGATAAAATGAAGAATAAAGAAAAATATTTTCCCTTAAAAACCCAAAATTTGGTCTCCTCCGGATAGCTCGAAGAAAATTAAGGAGTTCAAGGCTAAAAAAATTTTGAACACTAGATTTTTTCCATAAATGATTTATGCCTCACCATCATTTGCTAGTATTATTTCATACTGCAATGTCAGTGATGATAAGCAAGAACTGCAATCAATGTTTTCTGTTGTTATACAAATTATTTATCTATTTACCAGTGACTGCAGAAAATCTTTCTTTTTTCTTT